TCGGTTCAATTTGATAACTTGTATTCGAACTTTAGACTGAGTGGCTGATCAAATATTAGAACTTTGAATTGTGTACTAATCATCCATTGAGAACTTCCAATGCATAAAATGTTTTTACTCTCATTTTTCGTGCTCTGATTTTGAAGATCTTCGCTGTAGTCGAGGTTCCCGACTGTTACATATATGATTTACTTTGTGTCAGTTGAACAAAGCTGCAAATATTCAGGTGCTTTCTAGACAATCGCCTTACAAATCGAAGATTCTATGCTAAAATATAAGTAATGAAAGAAAACTTTTGGAATAAAATAGATGAATAACATCATTTTACCCACCTTCTGAAGTATTATCTGTTCATCGGTGAGCCTCATGAAAATAACATAATTGAACCGGAACAACAGCATACATCCACTGATGTTTAAAATATAGGTACAGATCACTTTCTGATGTTGTCATGACTGTTTCTAAACGTCGACATTGGTCATACATTTCGTCCATTGACATTTATTTATTTACATCTTTAAAAAGTGTCGGCAGTCTACTCTTCTACATATTCCTTTTCTGTTTTTTTTTCTATTTAACATATTTCGACAACTCCATTTTGTGTAACTCACATACATTTTCGTAGAAAATAGGGAGTGTAAGTTTAAAGGGGAAGTTTTGCTGCTCAGCTCCCGCAACCTCATCCCCATTACAGACATTAGCAAGCCTGCAAAACCTAAATGAAATTGTTTTTGTTTCGATCGATTGCCTTGCAAAACAACTAAAATGTGCAATACATTTCACACCAAAGACCGAAAATGAATCGAATTGAATCAAAAGTTTTCAAACATTATGTTAAATCGAATCGAATTAAACATAGGCTTGTAACAGTTCAGAACTGGTAGCTGTCGTAGGTCTAATTGAACATAAATTTTATTCAGACGAATCGAATCGAATCGAATAATATATTTGACAAGCTAGGTCGAGTAGAATCGAGCTCAGTTGAAATTTTCTCATTTGTTTCTGTCTCTGTTTTATACTGTATCTATTGTGTGTTAGTAGAATTAGACGAAAAGTCATATGTGAGTTTCACACATTAGCCCTAAAGAGGCTGCGTTAACAAGGTTTTTTTCTTTGTATCTTCAAAATGTGTTCTTTAGAGTGAGTCAATTGGAAAACCATTTATATCAGCAGACTATCATATTATTGTTGATTGTTCAAATGTATTTATTGGCTCTCAAAAAATACGTGATCCAACAACTGGAGCTACTCGACAAAATTTAGCTATTCATGTAAATGTTAAGAATCTTGTTAGAGTACTTGAAGACGATAAATTAAAGATATATATTAAAACACGTATTGCTGGTGGAAGTAAACCACCAGAAAATTTGCCGGTTTGGAATGAATGGGCATCTTGTGGTTATAAATGCATAGTGGCTGAGCGTTCAAAGAGTGGCCGAGTGAGTCATATTATAGATCGCCGTCACCCTAAAATGACTTTTTCGTTTTTTTCTAGGAAGACGGTGTGGACGATATGTTGCATGCTCACATATTACAACTCCTTCATAATTATAAAGATACTCAGACTAGATCACAAGTTCTTGTTTTGGTTACTGGCGATGGAAATAGAAACGATAATAAAACGAGTTTTCCTGATACTCTAGAGAGAGTATTAACAAGTGATTGGAGCGTGGAACTTTGGTCATGGAAACAATCATTGAACCAATGTTATTTTGGTATTCAGAAATTCTTTCCAAGTCGAATGACAATTAAATATTTAGATTCTTATAGAAACA